TTCTATCAACGGAACATTGATGGAGAGCTGTTTCAACATAGTAATAAACCCGCAGTATTTTCCTTCTTCATTCTTCTTTACCAACCTCTGTAGGAATGGAGGTGGAGGTCTAGGCATGGGAACAACTTTTTGGATTATCTCTGCATACTTATCTGTAACATTCTTGGACTCTCCAGTAACCTCAATCTCATCATCATCTTTTTCAACCACAATTTCAACCTCAGACGGCATAGATGGATCAATGGTTTGTTTACCCCCTCGAGTAGTGACTGCCATACTATGCCCATCATTCTTCAAATTCTGGATGGTGTTGCTAGGATGTGTGCCAGGTTGATGTGGGTTTATTGTAGTGGACAACTGATTCATTTGCTGCTCAAGTTACTTGATCGACACTGCATGGGCATCAACTTTTTGACCAATTCTAGACAAGTCATTTCGCATCTCCTTCACATTCTCATCAGTCATATCAAACCTTTTTATCATTTTCTGCATCATATCCTCAATACCTAACATGCTACCCCCAGCTTCCCTATTGCCAGATTCCTGATTTGCAAGAGGAACATAAGGCCCAACCCTATCATTTTTGTTGCCATAGTTGTTTCGATTGTAGTTGTCATAATTGTAGTTCTGATTGTAGTTATTGTCGCAATTATAGTTCCCATGCCGGACATAGTTACCTTCTCGGTTGTAGCTGCCATAGTTCCGAACTTGGTTTCCTTGCCCTTGGCTCCAATTATCTAAGTTGGAACCTTGGGCGTTGGCTCGGAAACCCCCCATCTGATCATTCACCAAGTAAGCATCCTCCTCATAGTAGCATTCCTCAATCGGTGGTGGTAGAGTCCTAGTCAAGTAATTTACCGCATTTACCTTTTCTGGACCTCTGCTTACATGCTTAAATACCAACCCAAGTTCTATCCTTATCTGAGCCATCTCCTTACGAATGTCATCGGTAGATTGACTAGGTGCAGCTTGAACTGCAAATGTGCTTTCTCCAGTGTCTGACTTTCGAGTGCTCCATTCTTTATTGTTTCGGGAAATCTTCTCCAGTTTCTCAGCGATCTCTTAAAAAGTGCACTCACCATATGATCCTCCAGTGATAGTATCAAGCACAGCCTCACCATTGTCATCCTGACCTCTGTAGAAGTACTCCTTCAGTTACTCATCATCGATGCAGTGATTCAGAACACTTCTTATGAATGCAGTGAACCTATCCCACGAACTACTCACAAACTCTCCAGGTAGTGCCATGAAGTTGTTAAGTTTGTCTTTGTGGTTCAGCTTCTTAGACAATGGGAAGTACTTGGCCATGAACACCTCGTGCAATTGGTCCCATGTATGAATTGAGTTGTATGGAAGCTCAGAAAACCAGATCGCAGCATCTCCGTTCAATGATAGAGGGAAGACTCTCAATCCTATGACGTTCATATCCAACTCCGGTCGTGCTACACAACTCTTACAGACACTTCTCAAGTTGTCCATATGCCCATGTGGATCTTTCGAAGCCATACCAGAAAACAACCCCCTCGCAATAAGCATCTGCATCAGACTGCTCGTCACCATAAATGTATGCTCCGGAGGTAGTGGAGGGAGAACAATGGGTCCTTCTGATTCAGTAGTATTGAACTCGACCCTGTAGTTATCTTGCAGCCTTGGTTCTGGCCGTACACATTAACAACCCCAGAAGGCTGCACCTCAACTCCAGCACCTAGATTCCCTCCAATTAGATTGACTTGGACCCCTTGATTATTCATCTTACTCAAAGTTTTGCTCAACTCTGGATCGTATGGGGTCAATGGTTCACCTCAACTCCGTGTACTTGGCATACACTAGAGTAGAAACCTGTAGAAAACAAAAACAAAAGTAAATGTAAGATTAGGAAATAATTGACTAAAGTTCAATAATATAGTTAAACATAATCTAAGAGCCTTATTCCCCGGCAGCGGCTCCAAAATTTGATATGCTCAAATTACACCTCCCTAAAGAAATATAAGCGATCATTGTCAAATAAAGAACCCAACGTGTAGGTTGGGGTCTATCCCACGAGGAATATGGTTTATACTTAAACTTAACTCACTATTATATTCGTTTAGTCAACTTATTTCTGAGACAAGTAAGTAAACGGGAGGTTTTGTGAAACAAATGATTGATTGTTGTTTAAGTAACAAGTGAGCAAAATTCAAACTTTGTTGTTATCAATGAGAGAGAGAAACTAGGGTGTATGTGTTCCCCATAGGCTCGTAACGCAGTAATCCTAATAATAGTAATATGTTCCTAATGTTTTACATGCAAAGATGGTAAGATATGTATCTCTAAGTGATTGGTCCTCCAAATAGGGAATTTCACTCCGCACCTTGGTCCAGCTACGTGTGTATAATTTATTAATCCTTACATTTACCTCAAATTAGACATCACATCAATGTATGGTTTAGTTTTCACCCTCGTACCAATTGACATTAGACTATTAGATAGTATCACACCAAATCTCTGTTGATAATTCTTTTTTTATTAACTACCTCCTTAGTCCGGCAAGTAGCAACAAGGCGAATTCTAACGTTGGCCACCGTTAAAAAGACTTCTAAGCGAAAGAATTACCAATTCATGCATCAACACTATTCACAAATTACTCAATTATTATTCATACATTGGTAATCACTCATGGTTCCACATCCCTAGTTGTGGATTTAGTTACTCATGTTTGAAAGAACACAATTCATGTTTTTAGAAGAAGAATTCATGAACTTACGTATTGATTATAAGAAACCTATAATCTCAAATTGAATTGCAAAATAAGAATCTTATAAACCGAAATCCGAAAATCAAATTGTTAAAGTTTGCAAGTTAATTCCCAAGAAAATATCAAAAACTAAAAGTAAACAATAATGTCTAACCCCCAAAAACGAGGTTTGCATACCCTATTTATAGAAAAACATGTCCTAAACAAAAAGGAGACAAAATAAGGAAATAAACTTTCTGGACGCGGCTTTGATCGACGACTTCGACCTATGGACCATGGGTCGACCCACGGTCCGTAGGTCCCCTCCGTTGGTCAACACTTAGACTTTTTCCTGTAGAGGCTGGAACCTTCACTCTCAGATACAATCGACGGACGTGCATAATGGACTGTAGGTTGACCTACGGTCCGTGGGTCCTCTTCTTTGGCTCCACACTTAGGAATTTCATCAGGCACTTGAACTTCAACTTCTCTGAATCATTCGACGGATGTGCAGGACGGCCCATGGGTCAACCTACGATCGTGTCACTGGCATCTGTAGTTCCACACTTGGTCAGAGGGGGTTCATCTGAACCCCCTCGGTAAAAAAATTACACTATATATATAAGATCGATTTTTTTATGTACGTGTATATATTTAAAATTGAACCACCTGAATATATATCAAAGGAGTAGCCCAACGGTTGATGGGGTTCAAGATTTCGCTTAAGTGAGCTTTTGGTCGCTGGATCGATTCCAGGCAACAACATTTTTTTTTTGTAATTTTTAGCGATTTTGCAGGCTTCAGGCTTCAATTTTTAGTGTTTTTTTATTAAATATATATAGACCAAACGACCTTGTTTTTAAAGTCATAACTAATTTAAAAAATTATATTTTAAATCTCTAATTGAAAAGTCAACAAATAAAAAAATCCCTCTTTTCTAGGGATTGCAATATTATATTTTTCCTAGTCTTTCTCGTTCAACTTCACATTTTGTTGCTTCTCGCTGGCTGCTGCTGCAGTCCTGACGTTGTTGCCACCTGTTGTTGTTGCTGCTTGCTGCCGCTGGCCGTTGGTGGAGGAGTGGTGGTCCTTCGTGGATTAATTTCATTCTCTCTTTCAGGCTCCATTTGTGATGGCAACCTCTGTAAGTTTTCTATTTTTTTTATTTTTTTTTAGAATTCTATGCTTGATTCTGGTATTTGTTGATATGCTATTTTATTTAGCTGATTGAACTCGGATATTTACTTCTCTTAACAATTTTTTATTTTTCATATGACAATTTCAATTCTATTCACTGATTATGAAATTTATAATTTTATTTGTTTGGGCTTATTTGTTGATTTTATATGTTTATTATGGACATCAACATTTGTTCAGTGGATATTAACTTTTATTTATGAGATTCAAACTTTTGTTCATTGTCTATAAAAAAATTTTGGTCCTTATTGCATATTAATTTTTGTAAGTTCTGACTAAATTTTTATTTTATGATTTAGTCTCAATATTCAGCGAAGAAGTATTTTACACAAGTACCGAAATCAACTTTAGCCTCTCAAAGTCATAGTTAATCTAATAAAAAAGAAAATACTAATCATTTAGAAGTGTCATTAGATTCTTCTCAAGATTTTGATTTGAGTTCTTTAAAGTTTGATCCTGGTGAAAGAACATCAATATTGAACTATTATCCAAACCACCGTGATGTTATTAGAAGAGCATACCTTTTGAATGATCCTTGTCAACCTCGTTTGACTGTGCAAGAGTATCCTCAAACATATATTTCTGGATCAATGCATCATTTTAATCATGAATGATTTGATGATATATATCATGATTGGTTGGAGTATAGTGTTAGTTAAGATGCAGTCTATTGTTTGTATTGCTATCTTTTTAAAGATCATAACACTAATCAAGGAGGAGGGGAGACATTTTCAACTATAGAATTTAAGAGTTGGAACAAAAAGGGTGGTCTTGACAAACATATTGTTCTACCGAATAGCATACATAATCAGTCAAAAAAGAAATGTCAAGATTTACTACGACAACAACGGTCTATTCAATTTGCATTTGAGAGGCAATCTAATCAACTCAAGCATGGATATTATATGCGCTTAAGTGCGTCGGTTGATGTAGTAAGACTTCTCATAAGTTGGGGATTTGCATTTCGAGGTCATGATGAATCTAAATCATCACTTAGTAGGGGTAACTTTCTTGAAATTCTCTCATGGTATGCAAAAAATGTGATAAAAATTGTGATTATGTTTTGTAACATGCTTCTTTAAATGATCAAATGACTTCTCCAATGATTCAAAAAGAAATTGTGAGTGCATGTAAGATAGATACCGTTAAAGCTATTCTTGAGGAATTAAATGGTGACTACTTTGCTTTACTAGTTAATGAATCCTTTGATGTGTCACGCAAGGAGAAAATGGCTATCATATTTCTATATATTGATAGAATGGGATTTGTAACAGAGCGACTAATTGGCATTGTTCATGTTGAAGATACTAGTGCTTCATCTTTAAAGGAGGCAATTTTTAATTTACTTGCTCATCATTCTTTGAGTCCATCAAGTGTGCGTGGACAATGTTACGATGGGGAAAGTAATATGCAAGGTGAGATCAATGGCCTTAAAATGTTGATTAGATGAGAAAGTAAATCGGTTCATTCAATCCATTGTTTTGCTCATCAACTTCAACTAACTCTTGTTAGGGTCTCTAAAAAGTGTGTTGAAGTGGGAAAACTTGTAGTATTGATCTCAAATATTTTTAATGTATTGGGATCTTCTTTTAAGCGTATGGATAATTTACGAGATTCTCAAAAATCAACAATTCAAGTGGCATTAGGGTGAACTTACAACCGGTAGGGGCTTGAATCAACAACTTGGTATTTCAAGAGCTTCTGATACTCGTTGAGGATCTCATTATAAATCCTTTAACAATTTTATTATTATGTTTGGCTCTATTCTTGAGGTTCTTGAATCACTTGCTCTTGATACAAGGAGTATGGATGAAAGAGCCAAGGCAATGGGACATCTTGAAGCTTGTCAAACATTTGAGATTCCGTTTATGTTGCATTTGATGAGAGATGTCTTATCACAAATGAACTTAATAAACGCTTACAAAAAAAGAGCAAGATATTGCAAATGTCATGCTACTTGTTGAAGTAGCAAAGAGAAGGTTGCAAGTCTTAAGAGATGATGAATGGGATTCTCTTATTGCCAAGGTATCTACATTTTGTATCAAACATGATGTTTTGATACCTAACTATGAGGAGTCATATGTTAGCTCTTTAAGATCACGGCGGAAACTTGCTAACTATACAATCTTACATCATTATCGTGTTGAAGTGTTTTGCAATATCATTGATTGGCAACTTCAAGAACTTAATGATCGTTTTGATGAGGTGACTGCCGATTTGCTCCATGGAATTGCTTGCTTGAATCTAATTAACTCATTTTCAACTTTTGACATAAGAAAAGTAATGAGAATGGCTGAATAACATCCACATGACTTTGATGAATCCAATATGAGTATTCTTGAGAATCAACTTGCAAGTTACATTGTTGAAGTTCGTGATGTTTATGAAAGGTTCTCTGATCTACATGGGCTTTGTGATCTTTCCAAAAGATTAGTTTAGACAAAGAAACATTCAAATTATGCTCTTGCATTTCGCTTAGTGAAACTTTGTAACACCCTTGAAAATGAAGTAGGATAAAGTAGAGCCTCACATGGGTTTTATGCATTAATAACTTGTTAAAATAATTAAGAATAGCCTTTTTAGTCAGTTTTAAAGAGTTTGGAAGTCAAACATCAAGGGACGACCAAGACGTTCGGAAACTAGTCTTTTACGTGTTGGTGTGTTCTAATATGTTGTTCATGTTTTTATGTGTTGTTTGGAGTCTAAAATCAGTAGAGGTGACCCTAGTGTCTTAATAAATGTTTTTAGGATCAAAACGTTCGAGTACGACTCCCCGGGACCACCCTAAGGGTCCCCGAGGAGGACCCCAACCTTTGGCCAAGCAAGCTACCAAGGCAGCTTGAAGTTGCTCATGGAGGGAGCATGTCTGCATCGCGAACGTGTCACAGACTCCTCTGCCTCGAAATTTAATTTCCAGAAACTTGTGGGAACACCTCCACATCACGGACTTGTTTCCCGATGAAATCTACGAAAATAAAAGTCAAGTTTGACTTGTTTAAAAGGTCCAACTAAGTGAGGGGTAGTTTGGGTACTTTGGGGAATTATTATAAACAGTTATTCTACCTATTTTAGGGTATTTTAAGTGGTTAAAACCCCAAAACCTAGAATTAGACCTCATTATCCAAATTGAACCTTCCCTCTCAAATAAATTCTCTCTCTCGAACTCCATGGAAGACATTGATGAAGCTTCAAGCTAGGGGATGGGTTCCTATTGATTTCTCCTTCAAATTCCTAGGAAATTAATCATAAAGGTATGGGGATTTTATCTTTGATTCTCCTTTCAATCAAAGTGATTTCAATGTTTTTCAAAAACACTAAAAACCCCAATTTCAATTCTAAGCTTGGGTTCTTGCATGAAAGTATTTCAAATGATGGTTTATGTTAATATTGATGGTTTTAAGATCAAAAACTCCATGAACCCTTGCATATCTTGAAATCCTAATTTTGGGTCTAAAGTGGGTCTATTGATTATGAGCTAATAATGTAATATTAATGTGTAGATTGTTATGGGCTATTGAGTTATGTATTGTTCTATATTGAATTATGAGGAATTGATGGTCACTTGTGTTATATTGGATGATGGCCTTGAATAGGCAATTGTGACCTAAGGTTTATGATGATGATGAAGTTGTGAATAGATTATTGATTATAGTATTTTATATATATGTATATATGTTGTAGATGTTAGAATTGTGAGGTTTGATCCCTTTGAAAGTGGGGAGGTGTTTACTTTATAAGCATGTTGTGATCATGACCTTGTAGGCAAAGTTGGATGATTGTTGTTTTGAGTAATGTTGGTTATATGAAGGTAATGTGATATGATGTGAATTTGTGTATGGTCTAAGAGCATGAAAGGTGACCTTGTGTAGAGACTTTATGTGTTATGTTTGGTTGTTGTCTTCTTTGAATGACTTATAATGAAGGTAAGGTTAGGATAGACTAGGTTTACCTACTCTCACACCTAGTGAAGAATGAATGAAAGAATGTGTGAATGAATGAAAAGAATGGGAGTTAATGCTAATGAATGAAAGTTGGGTCTATTGTAAGGATAGTCTCATAAAGTACTCATTTAAATGAATGAGGTTCCTAGATGAAAGGTTCTCTCATCTTTGAATCCAAGAGCTTTCTAAATGAATGAATGTTGGGCTATGATGGGTACTCCTTCGTGAATTGAGATGAGAGTACTTAGTAGCAATCCTTATCCCTTAATGAATGAATGTTGGGCTAGGATGGGTACTCCTTCGTGAGCTGAGATGAGGGTACTTAGTAGCAATCTTTATCCCTAAATGAATGAATGAAATGAATGTCCAAACTCCATGGGGGAGTAATGTCTAGCACCGAGAGGATATGAAGATGGGTGGATACTCCTTCGTTAGTTGAGATGTGAGTATTTAGTAGCAACCCTTAAGATGGGTGCCCCTTTGTTAGTTGAGATGTGGGTACTTAGAAGCAATCTTTATATCCCTTAACTATGTGCCCACATAGGACTAGCTAGTGGTCTCTACCACGTAAAGGCTAAAAGAATGACCCTACCTTAGGCAAGTGGGGATCCCTCATCCGGTAAGGGTACTACTGGGATTCCATGTCAAGCTCCATGGTCTATGTCGATTAAGACTTTTCCCTCACATTAATGAATGAATGAACTAGGGTCTCTTAAGCGTGTACTACTTAGAATAGGTGGTGGAATGGTACATCACCTAGACATTGCACAAGTAGACATTTAAGGGAGATCTTAGAGTGTCTTAGTAATGATAATGAATGAATGAGTCTTATTGGGCTAATTAATGAAAGTGTTGGTCGTTGAGCATGCTAATGTGAAAGTGAGTCATAATGAATTGAATGTAAGTGCTTATGTTGAATTGAATGTATGTGATGATCTTATGTCATTAGTGAATGAAGTTGTCTACATGCGCTAAGTTGAATGAACGATTTATGTTGAGATGTGAATGGAGCTTGTCTTGTGTAGCCTTAAGGATCACTTGGGTGTGGTATGGGGAGAGGTAGTATGGGCTGCCTCACCATGTCTTACTTAGGTGAGTCTTGGGATGACATTTTATGAGTGTTCTAGCTTTATGAAGTGACTTGTTGGCTTATGTGCTTATATGTCTTATGTGATTAATTGGTGGAGGTTGAGGTATGCATGGTAAGTGCACTTTGTGTGACCATAAGGGGGTGCCTTAGTGTGTGTGATGGTATGGGACGTTGCCCATGCATTGCACAAAGGTATTGCTTAAGGGTTACTTAAGGTGGAGGTCCAAGGCAAGAAGGTAAAGGTAAATGGTTTATGTATGTTTATGAGGTATTGTGAAGCATATGACTTTGTATTGTTGGTTGTGACTTGTAAGGTGCCTATTATGTTGATGTTCATGAGCCTTTATCAAAATGACATGAAAGCATAATTTCCTCACAAATGTCCTTTTTAGCATGTTTTGCATATCCTCATACTTAGTACGTGTGTTGTACTAACCTTTTTCTTCTATTTTACTACAAGTGTAGGTTGTGGTAACTAGGAGGAGATTGTGCTTTGGAGTTGCTTGGATTGCTTCACTCTTCCAAGTCTTTGGTATGTCCTCAAGATTGGAGGACTATGTTTAGATGTTTCTTAGTCATTGTAATAGACACTTAAGTTTCATTTCATTTGTAAAGGGTTGTGTCCCTTAGTACGTTTTAAGTTCTTGTCTAAGATTGGCTAAGGAGATTTAGTAGTTCCGCTTGCGTATTGATGTTTTCAAATGTTGATGACTCTTGAAGTCTTATGTTTTAAATTCTTAGTGATTTTTATGATTTATGCAATGAATGAATGCTAAGGCTTGTATAAGACCTCCGAGAGGTCGAATACGCATGTAACAGCTAGGGGGTGCTCTCGGGTCGTTATAAACTTGCTCTACTTTTACCAGTTGACACTGCCTTCGTTGAAAGAGCTTTTTCGGCAATGAAGTTTATCAAGAATGACTTGCGGAGTCAAATGAGTGATGATTTTTTTAATGGTTGTTTGGTGCCTTATTTAGAAAAAGTTGTATTTGATAAGATTTCTAATGATGTTATTATTAAGACATTTCAAGATATGAAACCTCGTAGAATACAATTGTAAAAATGTATGTAGTTGTATTTTCAAATGTAAAACTATGTTTTGATAGGTTTATCCACATGTTTGGTTTCTTAACCTCCCTTCAAGGTTGTGTAGTTTTGTAATGTAATGAAGTCATTTTATGCCAAAAAGAATTTTTGTGAAGAAATAGTATTTTCACTTTGATTTGTGTTTTTTGTTAGTGTTTCTAATGTTAAATTTGTGCTTGCTCTCCATTTGCACTTTCAGGAGCCGAAGAGAATTCTAAAGGAATTGAAAAACTTGTAGAACTTTTTGAATGAGTTACTTTATTATCATTTTATAGATATGTACTTTAAATTTGTTTCTTAGGATAAGTTGTAATTGTAAGAAATTATTTGAACTAAGGATTTTTTTTGTCAACCCATTTGTTAATCAATCCGTTTATATATGACCCGACCCGTTTATTTATGGATAATATTAGCGTGTTTAATTTTTTTTTAACCCCCTTGATAGAATTCCTGACTCTACCACTGCTTGGTCAAACTTCCCTGATGCTCCATCTACGCCATCCATCGACGAACCGTAGAAATTTTTATTCGTCACAATATTCTACGGTCAATGGTGCAAGTAGAAAAATTTTTGAGGCGTTTTTAATATGGTTTATGTACTTTTCTTGATTTTTCAGCCATTTTGGGGAATTTACATAATATTCAACCATTTTCGGACAGTTACGAAAAGAAGTACAGTTTTGTTCTTTTATTCGTCACGATATTCTAATATCATTAGTGCAAGTCGAAAAAAATTTAAGCATTTTTTATGTTTTTTACGGCCATATTTGGCATTTACGTAATATTCGGCCATTTTCGGGCAGTTACGAAAAGAAGTAAAGTTTTGTTCTTTTATTCATCACGATATTTTAAGGTCATTGGTGCAAGTCAGAATTTTTTTGAGGCATTTTTAGTATTATTAATGTATTTTTTAATTTTGAGGTATTTACGTTAGGCCATTTTCGGTGAGTTACAAAAAGAAGTAAAGTTTTGTTCTTTTATTCCTCATGATATTCTAAGTTCATTGGTGCAAGTAGAAATTTTTTTGAGGCATTTTTTGTATTGTTTATGTATTTTTCTTGATTTTTCGACCATTTTGGGGATTTACGTAATATTCGGTCATTTTTGGACAGTTAAGAAACGAAGTAAAGTTTTATTCTTTTATTCTTCACGATATTCTAAGGTCATTGGTGCAACTCAAAATT